TCCTCCAATATGTCCCCAGTCTCCAACCATCATTTCCTCCAATATGTCCCCAGTCTCCAACCATCATTTCCTCCAATATGTCCCCAGTCTCCAACCATTCCTCCAATATGTCCCCAGTCTACAACCATCTTTTCCTCCAATATGTCCCCAGTCTCCAACCATCATTTCCTCCAATATGTCCCCAGTCTCCAACCATCATTTCCTCCAATATGTCCCCAGTCTCCAACCATCATTTCCTCCAATATGTCCCCAGTCTCCAACCATCATTTCCTCCAATATGTCCCCAGTCTCCAACCATCATTTCCTCCAATATGTCCCCAGTCTCCAACCATCATTTCCTCCAATATGTCCCCAGTCTACATCCATCTTTTCCTCCAATATGTCCCCAGTCTCCAACCATCATTTCCTCCAATATGTCCCCAGTCTCCAACCATCATTTCCTCCAATATGTCCCCAGTCTCCAACCATCATTTCCTCCAATATGTCCCCAGTCTCCAACCATCTTTTCCTCCAATATGTCCCCAGTCTCCAACCATCATTTCCTCCAATATGTCCCCAGTCTACATCCATCATTTCCTCCAATATGTCCCCAGTCTACAACCATCATTTCCTCCAATATGTCCCCAGTCTACATCCATCATTTCCTCCAATATGTCCCCAGTCTCCAACCATAATTTCCTTCAATATGTCCCCAGTCTCCAACCATCATTTCCTCCAATATGTCCCCAGTCTCCAACCATCATTTCCTCCAATATGTCCCCAGTCTCCACCATCATTTCCTCCAATATGTCCCCAGTCTCCAACCATCATTTCCTCCAATATGTCCCCAGTCTACATCCATCATTTCCTCCAATATGTCCCCAGTCTCCAACCATCATTTCCTCCAATATGTCCCCAGTCTACAACCATCATTTCCTCCAATATGTCCCCAGTCTCCAACCATCATTTCCTCCAATATGTCCCCAGTCTCCAACCATCATTTCCTCCAATATGTCCCCAGTCTCCAACCATCATTTCCTCCAATATGTCCCCAGTCTACATCCATCTTTTCCTCCAATATGTCCCCAGTCTCCAACCATCATTTCCTCCAATATGTCCCCAGTCTCCAACCATCATTTCCTCCAATATGTCCCCAGTCTCCAACCATCATTTCCTCCAATATGTCCCCAGTCTCCAACCATCATTTCCTCCAATATGTCCCCAGTCTCCATCCATCATTTCCTCCAATATGTCCCCAGTCTCCAACCATCATTTCCTCCAATATGTCCCCAGTCTCCAACCATCATTTCCTCCAATATGTCCCCAGTCTCCAACCATTTTCCTCCAATATGTCCCCAGTCTACAACCATCATTTCCTCCAATATGTCCCCAGTCTCCAACCATCATTTCCTCCAATATGTCCCCAGTCTCCAACCATCATTTCCTCCAATATGTCCCCAGTCTCCAACCATCATTTCCTCCAATATGTCCCAGTCTCCAACCATCATTTCCTCCAATATGTCCCCAGTCTCCAACCATCATTTCCTCCAATATGTCCCCAGTCTCCACATCCATCATTTTCCTCCAATATGTCCCCAGTCTCCAACCATCATTTCCTCCAATATGTCCCCAGTCTCCAACCATCATTTCCTCCAATATGTCCCCAGTCTCCAACCATCATTTCCTCCAATATGTCCCCAGTCTCCAACCATCATTTCCTCCAATATGTCCCCAGTCTCCAACCATCATTTCCTCCAATATGTCCCCAGTCTACATCCATCTTTTCCTCCAATATGTCCCCAGTCTCCAACCATCATTTCCTCCAATATGTCCCCAGTCTACATCCATCTTTTCCTCCAATATGTCCCCAGTCTCCAACCATCATTTCCTCCAATATGTCCCCAGTCTACAACCCATCATTTCCTCCAATATGTCCCCAGTCTCCAACCATCATTCCTCCTCCAATATGTCCCCAGTCTCCAACCATCATTTCCTCCAATATGTCCCCAGTCTCCAACCATCATTTCCTCAATATGTCCCCAGTCTCCAACCATCATTTCCTCCAATATGTCCCCAGTCTACAACCATCATTTCCTCCAATATGTCCCCAGTCTCCAACCATCATTTCCTCCAATATGTCCCCAGTCTACAACCATCATTTCTCCAATATGTCCCCAGTCTCCACCATCATTTCCTCCAATATGTCCCCAGTCTCCAACCATCATTTCCTCCAATATGTCCCCAGTCTCCAACCATCATTTCCTCCAATATGTCCCCAGTCTACAACCATCATTTCCTCCAATATGTCCCCAGTCTACAACCATCATTTCTCCAATATGTCCCCAGTCTACAACCATCATTTCCTCCAATATGTCCCCAGTCTACAACCATCATTTCCTCCAATATGTCCCCAGTCTACCAACCATCATTTCCTCCAATATGTCCCCAGTCTACAACCATCATTTCCTCCTCCAATATGTCCCCAGTCTACAACCATCATTTCATTTCCTCCAATATGTCCCCAGTCTACAACCATCATTTCCAGTCCAATATGTCCCCAGTCTCCAACCATCATTTCCTCCAATATGTCCCCAGTCTACATCCATATTTTCCTCCAATATGTCCCCAGTCTCCAACCATCATTTCCTCCAATATGTCCCCAGTCTCAACCATCATTTCCTCCAATATGTCCCCAGTCTCCAACCATCATTTCCTCCAATATGTCCCCAGTCTCCAACCATCATTTCCTCCAATATGTCCCCAGTCTACAACCATCATTTCCACCAATATGTCCCCAGTCTCCAACCATCATTTCCTCCAATATGTCCCCAGTCTCCAACCATCATTTCCTCCAATATGTCCCCAGTCTACAACCATCATTTCCCTCCAATATGTCCCCAGTCTCCAACCATCATTTCCTCCAATATGTCTCCCAGTCTCCAACCATCATTTCCTCCAATATGTCCCCAGTCTACAACCATCATTTCCTCCAATATGTCCCCAGTCTACAACATCATTTCCTCCAATATGTCCCCAGTCTCCAACCATCATTTCCTCCAATATGTCCCCAGTCTCCAACCATCATTTCCTCCAATATGTCCCCAGTCTACAACCATCATTTCCTCCAATATGTCCCCAGTCTACAACCATCATTTCCTCCAATATGTCCCCAGTCTCCAACCATCATTTCCTCCAATATGTCCCCAGTCTCCAACCATCATTTCCTCCAATATGTCCCCAGTCTCCAACCATCATTTCCTCCAATATGTCCCCAGTCTACAACCATCATTTCCTCCAATATGTCCCCAGTCTCCAACCATCATTTCCTCCAATATGTCCCCAGTCTACATCCATCATTTCCTCCAATATGTCCCCAGTCTACAACCATCATTTCCTCCAATATGTCCCCAGTCTACAACCATCATTTCCTCCAATATGTCCCCAGTCTACATCCATCATTTCCTCCAATATGTCCCCAGTCTCCATCCATCATTTCCTCCAATATGTCCCCAGTCTCCAACCATCATTTCCTCCAATATGTCCCCAGTCTACAACCATCATTTCCTCCAATATGTCCCCAGTCTACAACCATCATTTCCTCCAATATGTCCCCCAGTCTACAACCATCATTTCCTCCAATATGTCCCCAGTCTACAACCATCATTTCCTCCAATATGTCCCCAGTCTACAACCATCATTTCCTCCAATATGTCCCCCAGTCTACAACCATCATTTCCTCCAATATGTCCCCAGTCTACAACCATCATTTCCTCCCAATATGTCCCCAGTCTACAACCATCATTTCCTAATATGTCCCCAGTCTCCAACCATCATTTCCTCCAATATGTCCCCAGTCTACAACCATAATTTCCTCCAATATGTCCCCAGTCTCCAACCATCATTTCCTCCAATATGTCCCCAGTCTACAACCATCATTTCCTCCAATATGTCCCCAGTCTACAACCATCATTTCCTCCAATATGTCCCCCAGTCTCCAACCATCATTTCCTCCAATATGTCCCCAGTCTACAACCATCATTTCCTCCAATATGTCCCCAGTCTCCAACCATCATTTCCTCCAATATGTCCCCAGTCTCCAACCATCATTTCCTCCAATATGTCCCCAGTCTACAACCATCATTTCCACCAATATGTCCCCAGTCTCCAACCATCATTTCCTCCAATATGTCCCCAGTCTCCAACCATCATTTCCTCCAATATGTCCCCAGTCTACAACCATCATTTCCTCCAATATGTCCCCAGTCTACAACCATCATTTCCTCCAATATGTCCCCAGTCTACAACCATCATTTCCTCCAATATGTCCCCAGTCTCCAACCATCATTTCCTCCAATATGTCCCCAGTCTACAACCATCATTTCCTCCAATATGTCCCCAGTCTACAACCAACATTTCCTCCAATATGTCCCCAGTCTCCAACCATCATTTCCTCCAATATGTCCCCAGTCTCCAACCATCATTTCCTCCAATATGTCCCCAGTCTCCAACCATCATTTCCTCCAATATGTCCCCAGTCTACAACCAACATTTCCTCCAATATGTCCCCAGTCTCCAACCATCATTTCCTCCAATATGTCCCCAGTCTACAACCATCATTTCCACCAATATGTCCCCAGTCTCCAACCATCATTTCCTCCAATATGTCCCCAGTCTCCAACCATCATTTCCTCCAATATGTCCCCAGTCTACAACCATCATTTCCTCCAATATGTCCCCAGTCTACAACCATCATTTCCTCCAATATGTCCCCAGTCTACAACCATCATTTCCTCCAATATGTCCCCAGTCTCCATCCATCATTTCCTCCAATATGTCCCCAGTCTCCAACCATCATTTCCTCCAATATGTCCCCAGTCTACATCCATCATTTCCTCTAACGGGTTGTTGTATATATTGTTACATTCCCCAGTCTCTAGGGGTCGTTGTATGTTACATTCCCGGTCCCTGTAGGTGTTGGAGGATGTACAGACACAGACAACACATGGAGGAGTTCGGCTCACCCAGGTCTCGAACATGTCCCCAGTCTAGCTTCCTCAGTGTGGCCCTAGAAATGGAGGAGATACAATGAGGTTCGGTCTGTATGTCCCCATAACACAACGAACTGTCCAATTAATGGAGAGGAATCCCGCCATCCATCATCAGCCTCTGTAGGGCCCCCATGTCTGGGGTAGTTTCAGATCTGTAGGGTCCCCATGTCTGGGGTAGTATGGGTCTGTGGGGTCCCCAGTCTGGGGGTAGTATTTCCTTAGGGTGCTCATGTCTGGGGTAGTATTTCGGGTCTGTGGGGTCCCCATGTCTGGGGTAGTACAGGTCTGTAGGGTCCCCATGTCTGGGGTAGTACGGGTCTGTAGGGTCCCCATGTCTGGGGTAGTATGGGTCTGTAGGGTCCCCATGTCTGGGGTAGTACGGGTCTGTAGGGTCCCTATGTGTCTGGGGGCAGTACGGGTCTGCGGGGTCCCCGTGTCTGGGGGTAGTACGGGTCTGTAGGGTCCCCATGTCTGGGGTAGTACGGGTCTGCAGTGTCCAACCATCATTTCCTCAATATGTCCCCAGTGACAACCACACGGGTCCCGGGGTCTCCCCATGTCTGGGGTATAGTACGGGTTCCCGTCTCTAGGGGTCCCTGTATGTCTGGGGGCAGTACGGGTCTGTAGGGTCCTTGTTGTGTCTGGGGGCATTCTGCCGGGGTCCCCGTGTCTGGGGGAGTACGGGTCAGGGTCCCATGTCTGGGTATGGAGGAGTTCGGCTCCCCAGTCTCGAAGTACATGTCTCGGTAGGGTCCTTGTGTCGCAGCTTCCTCAGTGGTCTCCATGAATGGAGTATACAATGAGGGTTCGGTCTGTAGGGTCACAACAACTGTCCAATTAGTACGGAGAGGAATCCCGCCATCGTCATCCAGTATGGGTCCTCTGTAGGGCCCCCATGTCTGGGGGTAGTACAGATCTGTAGGGTCCCCATGTCTGGGGTAGTATGGGTCTGTAGGGTCCCCATGTCTGGGGGTAGTACGGGTCTTTAGGGTGTCCCCGTGTCTGGGGTAGTACGGGTCTGTAGGGTCCCCATGTCTGGGGTAGTACAGGTCTGTAGGGTCTCCATGTCTGGGGTAGTACGGGTCTGTAGGGTCCCCATGTCTGGGGTAGTATGGGTCTGTAGGGTCCCCCATGTCTGGGATAGTACGGGTCTGTAGGGTCCCCATGTCTGGGGGCAGTACGGGTCTCTAGGGTCCTTATGTCTGGGGGCAGTACGGGTCTGTAGGGTCCTTGTGTCTGGGGGCAGTACGGGTCTGCGGGGTCCCCGTGTCTGGGGGTAGTACGGGTCTGTGGGGTCCCCGTGTCTGGGGTAGTACGGGTCTGTAGGGTCATAGTCTAGGACATGTGGGATGTGTTGGGATCCCTCACCTTTTGTGTTTGTTGATGAAGTCCACCAGCTCCTCCTCGGTGTACGGCTTATCCGGGACGGTGATCGCTTCGTCCATGAATGGTTCATAGAAGTCCACTTCATTCATCTTCAGCGTCAGAGCCTTCGCCACCTACCACCATCATCATCACCATCATCATCATCATCATCCTAATCATCATCATCATCATCACCAACACCATCACCATCATCCTAATCATCATCATCATCACCATCATCATCATCACCATCATCATCACCATCATCCTAATCATCATCATCATCACCATCATCATCACCATCATCATCACCATGATCATCATCATCACCATCACCATCATCATGATGTGACCAACATCTGCCCCAGCATTGGTTCTCCTCAGTCCTCACACCATACTGCACTCTTCTATATCTGGGACACAACCAATCCCAATGCTGCATCTTCTGACTCCTCCCTCCATCACCCGGCTGGAATTTCTCCATCTTACCGACTTGTCGAACGTTGAGAAGAACTTGATGTACGGATGGAAATGTTCTGCGGCTTCTACATACTCCTTGTAATCTGCAGGTCAGAGAACCCGGGAACCCCATTAGTATGGGTCATAGAGACACCCCGAGATGTACACCACACCGACCTGTACAGACACGGGGCACCCCGAGACATACACCACACCGACCTGTACAGACACGGGACACCCCGAGACGTACACCACACCGACCTGTACAGACATGGGGCACCCCGAGATGTACACCACACCGACCTGTACAGACATGGGGCACACCCCGAGATGTACACCACACCGACCTGTACAGACACGGGGCACACCACACCGACCTGTACAGACACGGGACCCCGAGACATACACAACACTGACCTGTACAGACACGGGGCACCCCGAGACATACACCACACCCACCACCTGTACAGACACGGGACACCCCGAGACATACACCACACCGACCTGTACAGACACGGGACATACACACACTGACCTGTACAGACACAGGGCACACCAGACATACACCACACCGACCTGTACAGACACGGGACACCCCGAGACGTACACCACACCGACCTGTACAGACACGGGGCACCCCGAGATGTACACCACACCACACCGACCTGTACAGACACGGGGCACCCCCCGAGACATACACCACACCGACCTGTACAGACACGGGACACCCCGAGATGTACACCACACCGACCTGTACAGACACGGGACACCCCGAGATACACCACACCGACCTGTACAGACACGGGGCACCCCGAGATGTACACCACACCGACCTGTACAGACACGGACACCCCGAGATGTACACCACACCGACCTATACAGACATGGGGCACCCCGAGATGTACACCACACCGACCTGTACAGACACGGGGCACCCCGAGATGTACACCACACACAGACACGGGACACCCCGAGATGTACACCACACCGACCTGTACAGACACGGGACACCCCGAGATGTACACCACACCGACCTGTACAGACACGGGACACCCCGAGATCTGTGGCGGTGATATTCTGCGGCTCATTGGATCACACAGACCCCCCCCTGCCCCCCCCCATACACTTACGTTGGGAGTCCTCATTCTTGAAGTATCCGACCACTCGGGTCTCCTCCTCCATGCGGTCCAGGGCCTTCAGCTCCGCCCGACTGTTGATGTTCTCCACGGGGTCCTCAATCAGCTGTGGGTGAGAGGAGACATCTCACGGGGTGTCCTGGACACTGGAAGTATGGAGACCCCCAACCCCCTACTGGGAGTACAGGTGTGGTCAGAGTGCGGTCAGTGTAGGATCCTGTGGAGGGGGTCAGTGATTGGGCAGTCAGTGTGGGATCCTATGGAGGGGGTGAGGGTGTGGTCAGTGTGGGATCCTATGGAGGGGGTGAGGGTGTGGTCAGTGTGGGATCCTGCAGAGGGGGCGAGGGTGTGGTCAGTGTGGGATCCTGTAGAGGGGGCGAGGGGTTGTGGTCAGTGTGGGATCCTGCAGAGGGGGCGAGGGTGTGGTGGTCAGTGTGGGATCCTGTAGAGGGGTGAGGGTGTGGTCAGTGTGGGATCCTGTAGAGGGGTGAGGGTGGTGGGGTCAGTGTGGGATCTTGTAGAGGGGGCGAGGGTGTGGTCAGTGTGGGATCTTGTAGAGGGGGCGAGGGTGTGGTCAGTGTGGGATCCTGTAGAGGGGGCGAGGGTGTGGTCAGTGTGGGATCCTGTAGAGGGGTGAGGGTGTGGTCAGTGTGGGATCCTGTAGAGGGGGTGAGGGTGTGGTCAGTGTGGGATCCTGTAGAGGGGTGAGGGTGTGGTCAGTGTGGGATCTTGTAGAGGGGGTGAGGGTGTGGTCATTGTGGGATCCTGTAGAGGGGGTGAGGGTGTGGTCAGTGTGGGATCTTGTAGAGGGGGTGAGGGTGTGGTCAGTGTGGGATCTTGTAGAGGGGGCGAGGGTGTGGTCAGTGTGGGATCCTGTAGAGGGGTGAGGGTGTGGTCAGTGTGGGATCTTGTAGAGGGGGTGAGGGTGTGGTCATTGTGGGATCCTGTAGAGGGGGCGAGGGTGTGGTCAGTGTGTTGGGTCCCCCGGAATACTCACATCCAGCAGGAAGTCCACCAGAACATCAGCCGCCAGCTCCCCATCAAACTCAATGACGTTGTCCTCTTTGAACACGTAGAGGCTGCCCACCTCGGTGGTCCCTGTGGACAGAGAGAGGCCATCATACATGATGAGGAACACCCGTGACGTGGTCTGGAAGGGTTGGTAGCCAGGCACCCCCCCCCCCCCCATGGCAGTACATACCCAGCTTCTTGGCGATCTTGGCATTGTTCTTTGGGTCGAGGATTCCAAACCCGATATCCTTCTTCTCCAGAACCTGAGCAGCCAGCTGGAGGACACCATAGAGGGTGGTCAGGGAGAGAACGGAACAAGCCCCACCCATAACCTGTACAAGCCACACCCATAACCTGTACAAGCCACACCCATACCTTCCCACCTGTCCCCGCTCATACAAGCCCCACCCATACCTTCCCACCTGTCCCCCGCTCATACAAGCCCCACCCTTACCTTCCCACCTGTCCCCCGCTCATACAAGCCACACCCATACCTTCCCACCTGTCTCCCCCGCTCATACAAGCCCCACCCATACCTTCCCACCTGTCCCCTGCTCATACAAGCCACACCCACACCTTCCCACCTGTCCCCCGCTCATACAGGCCACACCCATACCTCCCCAACTGTCCCCCGCTCATACAGGCCACACCCACTTCCCACCTGTTCCCACCTGCCCCCCATACCTCATGTACAGGCCATACACCACACCCACACCTTCCCACCTGTCCCCCGCTCATGCAGGCCACACCCACACCTTCCCACCTGTCCCCCGCTCATACAGGCCACACCCCATACCTTCCCACCTGTCCCCCGCTCATACAAGCCACACCCACACCTTCCCACCTGTCCCCCGCTCATACAGGCCACACCCACACCTTCCCACCTGTCCCCCCGCTCATACAGGCCACACCCACACCTTCCCACCTGTCCCCCGCTCATACAAGCCCCACCCATACCTTCCCACCTGTCCCCCGCTCATGTACCTTCCCACCTGTCCCCGCTCATACAAGCCCACCCCATACCTTCCCACCTGTCCCCCCGCTCATACAAGTCCCACCCTTACCTTCCCACCTGTCCCCCGCTCATACAGGCCACACCCATACCTTCCCACCTGTCCCCCACTCATACAAGCCACACCCACACCTTCCCACCTGTCCCCCGCTCATACAGGCCACACCCATACCTTCCCACCTGTCCCCCCGCTCATACAAGTCCCACCCCATTACCTTCCCACCTGTCCCCCGCTCATACAGGCCACACCCGTACCTTCCCACCTGTCCCCCCCCCGCTCATACAAGTCCCACCCTTACCTTCCCACCTGTCCCCCACTCATACAAGCCACACCCACACCTTCCCACCTGTCCCCCGCTCATACAGGCCACACCCGTACCTTCCCACCTGTCCCCCGCTCATACAAGCCACACCCATACCTTCCCCCCTGTCCCCCGCTCATACAAGCCACACCCCACCCTGGGATATGATTGGTTACTTTGAGTTAAAAACTAAAATCTGGTTGCTAAAGGTTACTGCAGCCACACACTGAGATCTGATTGGTTGTTAGAGACCCCGGCAGTTACACACCGAGATCTGATTGGTTGTTAGAGACCCCCCGCAGTTACACACCGAGATCTGATTGGTTGTTAGAGACCCCGGCAGTTACACACCGAGATCTGATTGGTTGTTGAGACCCCTGCAGTTACACACCGAGATCTGATTGGTTGTTGATACCCCGGCAGTTACACACCGAGATCTGATTGGTTGTTGAGACCCCGGCAGTTACACACCGAGATCTGATTGGTTGTTGAGACCCCGGCAGTTACACACCGAGATCTGATTGGTTGTTGAGACCCCGGCAGTTACACACCGAGATCTGATTGGTTGTTGAGACCCCTGCAGGTACACACCAAGATCTGATTGGTTGTTGAGGACCCCTGCAGGTACACACTGAGATCTGATTGGTTGCTGAGGATGACTGCAGTCACGCTGTGATTCCTGATTGGTTTATGGAGGTCCCCGCAGTCAGACGTCTGTGATTGGTTGTTGGGCTGGGCGCTCTCTCCGTGTGACATTCCATGGCAGGAATTCTCTGGCTGGAGTTGGGTTACCGTCGGGGGTGTCAGCTGTCTGCCCTCGTCTTCTCTGCCGGAGGGACAGTCTGGGTGTCTGACACCTTCCCACACAATGGATCGCAGTAACCCATGGCAACCACCCCCAGGTGACCGCACATCGGCCAGTGCTGATTGGTTGTTGCAGGTTGGTGCCCTCCACACATGGCTGGTTGCTGTGGTCACCTTCTGACATTCATTCCCACCATCTGATTGGCCGCCATGAAAAGCTGCACCAGATTCTGCACTGTCCCCCCCCCCCCTATTGTGTCTAACATCGCCCTATGGAGGATCTGGGGTGACGGGTGAGACCTTGTTGGGGTCACCTATGAGCTACGGGGGCCAGAAATAGAGGCCTCAGTGCCCCCCTCCCCAGGAATGGAACCATGTGACCGAGGAAGGTGGGGATGGAATAGATAGTTACATTGGGGCTCTGTACTCCGAGACCCCCAGTGACCCCCCCCAGGGAGAGCACCATGTGACCGAGGATGGAGGGGATGGAATAGACGGTTACACTGGGGCTCTGTACTCCGAGACCCCCAGTGACCCCCCCCAGGGAGAGCACCATGTGACCGAGGATGGAGGGGATGGAATAGATGGTTACATTGGGGCTCTGTACTCAGAGACCCCCAGTAACCCCCCCCCCAGGGAGAGCACCATGTGACCGAGGATGGAGGGGATGGAATAGACGGTTACATTGGGGCTCTGTACTCAGAGACCCCCAGTAACCCCCCCCCAGGGAGAGGCCCATGTGACCGAGGATGGAGGGGACGGAATAGACGGTTACATCCCCCACCATCCTCATCTCTCCATCTTATACCTCTATGAGATCTTTCTATGGTCTGTATGTTATCTGATTGGTCGGTGATGAAATACAGACAGTCTGGGTGACGGGAGTTCCTCCAGGAGGGATGTCTCCGGGCTCCTGATGTGTGAATTCCCCGGGAGAGGTGACAATCTGTCAGTGTATCTTGGAGGAGAGGCAGCCCGGGGTGACCGTAAACTGATCCGGAGGACTTCCAGCCAAGAGCCTATCTCCTGCCAACATAGGATGGAGGACCTCTGACCTGCAGGAGGCCCAGACAAGTCTAGTGTGAGCTTCCTCCCATGTCCTCCTCACTGCTACCTGGAAGTCTGGAGAACGTGGCCCGGCAGTGTTGACCTCAGGTGTGCTGCTACCTGGAGGCCTGGAGAACGTGGCCCGGCAGTGATGATCCCAGGGGTGCTGCTACCTGGAAGTCTGGAGAACGTGGCCCGGCAGTGATGATCCCAGGTGTGCTGCTACCTGGAGGTCTGGAGAACGTGACCCGGCAGTGATGATCCCAGGTGTGCTGCTACCTGGAGGTCTAGAGAACGTGGCATAGTACTGATGGTCCCAGTTGTGCTGCTACCTGGAGGTCTGGACCTGAAAGTCGGAGAACGTGGCCCGGCAGTGATGATCCCAGGTGTGCTGCTACCTGAAAGTCTGGAGAACGTGGCCCGGCACTGATGATCCCAGGTGTGCTGCTACCTGAAAGTCTGGAGAACGTGGCCCGGCAGTGATGATCCCAGGTGTGCTGCTACCTGGAGGTCTGGAGAACGTGGCCCGGCACTGATGATTCCAGGTGTGCTGCTACCTGGAGGTCTATAGGATTGTCCTGATCACACACGCTTGGCTGACCTACATGGGAGCTCTTCTGCTCACCAAGGGAATTGTATTTCTGTCCATCCAGTCCTGACATTTACACAGCTCTGCCACACAGCACAACCTGTCGGCTGGGGGAGGAGGCCTGACTTTTTTCTGCTGAAGTTAGGATCTAAGAGCTTGGCCCCTCCCCCAGCCTGTGATTGGACTGTGAGAGGAGAAGCAGCGCAGTGATGAGCTGACCTCTCTGTCAGCTGACCTCCTCAGCAGGCTTCTGTATAGCACTCTGCTCCCTATGATGGTCCTCCCCCATGACCCTGCTCAGCCCCAGGCTTCTTGTTAGAAATGGTAGCCCCAGCTCCCTACGATGTCCCCGAGACCCTGCTCCCTTCGATGGTCCCCAGGCCCCTGCTCCCTATGATGGTCCCCAGGCCCCATGACCCTGCTCCCTACGATGGTCCCCATGACCCTGCTCCCTACGATGGTCCCCAGGCCCCGAGACCCTGCTCCCTTCGATGGTCCCCAGGCCCCGTGACCCTGCTCCCTATGATGGTCCCCAGGTCCCGTGACCCTGCTCCCTATGATGGCCCCATGACCCTGCTCCCTGCGATGGTCCCCGGGCCCGAGACCCTGCTCTCTATGATGGTCCCCAGGTCCTATGACCCTGCTCCCTACGATGGTCCCCGGGCCCCGAGACCCTGCTCTCTATGATGGTCCCTGGGCCCCCCCGTGACCCTGCTCCCTATGATGGTCCCCTGGCCCTATCCCCGTTAATGTCGCCCACATTCTGAATATAGACCACTTGGAACCAAGGCTGCTGTCAGAAATCAGAAATCACGGGGCCCCATACCCTCCCCCCCCCCGAATACATCGTAGTCACGTTAGAGCTCCTGGACTGAGGTCATAGATAAAGCTCTCTGTGGGGTGTCCTGTACAGTGTGAATCGGGGGGGGGGGGATTTAATGCGGCTCAGGCAGACAGCAGTTAGGACGCAGGTCCTCATGTGACAGATGTGGGGGTGCGGGTGTAGGGTCCAGGATCTCTGTGTTTTGGGGGGGGGGGGGGTCTGTTCCAGTGTTTCGGTGTTGGGAAGGAGGGGGTTGTGGTCCAGTGCCCATGTGTGGGGGAATCAGGTGATTTTTGGGGGTTTATGTGGTTCCTCTGGGGTCCTGGTGTTGGTAGGGGTCTAGTCTGAGGTCCATGTGTGGGGGAATCAGGTGATTGTAGAGGGTTCCTTTGTTCCTCTGGGTCCTGGTGTCAGGGGTGGTCTGGTCCGGGGTCCATGTGTGGGGTAATCAGGCGATTGTTGGTGATGAGGAGCCCTGTCCTTCTCCACGTTGAGGTCACGGAATTCTATCCCTCGGCTCCTATTACTTCTCCTCTGGGGTCCTGGTGTTAGAGGGGTCTAGTCCGGGGTCCATGTCTGGGGGAATCAGATGATTGTTGGGTGTTTCTTGGTTCCTCTGGGGTCCTGGTGTCTGGGAGAGTCTGGTCTGGGGTCCATGTGTTGGGGAATCAGATGATTGTTGGGGGTTCTCCTTGCTC